CGGTTTCGGAGGTGAACCGGTTCTGATTTGCATTGCAGGTGAGATGACTTGTGCCATATAGGCCCAGGCTCTACTGGGTTTACTTGGGAGCTTCAGGGAGGAGAAGGTCAACGAGTTGAGGTGGATCAGCAGGTTGTTCAATGACATTTGGTCGCAGACGGTACAGGGAGGTGTTTCAGCCCGGCTGGGTCAAGATGTATCCCTCCAACGACTTCAAGCGCGTGCCTCGCCGCAGGCCTGCTAAACGAGTTCATCGCACAACCTCGCGAGTTGGAACGAGGCAGACACATATTGCCACCAGAACGGAGGCTGATGGGGCACCCCGCTCCATTTGAACACAGCTCTGAACGCGCAGGCAAGGCGAGGTTCGGAAGAGTTCGGCATGGTCATGGTCGGTGTGGGAGTGCTTCTTCTTTGCGCCGCTGAGTGCATTTGCCTTTGGAGCATCACAAAATCCGAACTGCTTCAAGCTCACCAACCTCATCAGCATGAAGGGTAGATATATGCGGATATATCACGAAAGCTAGCATGCTAGCTGAGTTCTTCTTTGCTTTAAAAATTTAGCAATTGGTAGTGGAATGAGCTGCGTGCCTTAAAGCTTGATATATCACACTAAGGGGGGGAGCCTGGCCCCCCCACTCTAGCGTGATATATCACGCTAAGGACCCCCCCCCCTTCCCCCCCCCCCGCGGTTCAACTCCCAGCTGCAGGCGTTTTGGCATTAGTGGAGGTGTTGTTACATGTTGGAAATTGTTGGTGTTTTGTTTGGTTTTTTTGATTTTGGGGTGTGCATTCAAAACCAGGATGTCAAAGACATCATGCACTTGAATTTTGGATGATCCTGGGTAGCGGAAGCACACGTAATTATTGGAGAATCAAGATGACACTCATGGGATTTTGCATGCGTTTTTGCAAAACATCCACTGATTTTAGTGTTTGTATTTAAATTTAGGATTCATTGAGGAGCTTTGTCGGAAGCATGGTCAGCTTCGTAGGAAGCATGATCATTTGCTCGTTTTTTCTTGTGGATGCATCACATAACATTTCGGCTGCGCCCCGTCAGCTGATGAATCTTCATTACCTGAGAGCACAGTTTTTGAATTTACTGTCTTCGACATGTGTGGTTTGGCAAAATTGTTGATTGTATCCATACCCGCCAGATTTGCTGCCGGCTATTGCCCCAAGACACTCTATTCCTTATACCTTTTACCAGTGTTTATCCTACACTACGGACGCCCTAGTGTATGTACAGTCGGTGTGATGTCAGAAATGCTCACCCCTCTTTCCGACCCAAGGCATACAAAAGCGGTGGGTAAATTTACCCTCCAGATTTACCATAACAGTAAACCAGCTATTTCATCTAGACACTCTTAGTGTTTGTATTTAGGATTCATTGACGAGCTTTGTCGGAAGCATGGTCAGCTTCGTTGGAAGCATGGTCATTTGCTCGTCTTCTTCTTGTGGATGCATCACATAACATTTTGGCTGCGCCTCGTCAGTTGATGAATCTTCAATACCTGAGAGTACAGTAAAGTGTTTGAATTTACTGTCTTGGACATGTGTGGTTTGGCAAAACTGTTGATTGTATCCATACCCACCAAATTTGCTACCGGGTATTTCTTGAAGACACTCTATTCCTTATACCTTTTACCAGTCAGTGCTTATCCTACACTATGGACGCTCTAATGTATGTACAGTCCTTGTGGTGCAAGAAATGCTGACCCCTCTTTCCGACCCAAGGCATACGAAAGCGGGGGGTAAATTTACTCCCCAGATTTGCCATAACCATAAGCCGGCTATTTCCTCAAGACACTCTACTCCTTATACCTTTTTCCAGTGTTTATCCTACACTACGGACGCCCTAGTGTATGTACAGTCCGTGTGATGTCAGAAATGCTCACCCCTCTTTCCTACCCAAGGCATACAAAAGCGGTAGGCAATCACGAAAGCTAGCATGCTAGCTGAGTTCTTCTTTGCTTTAGCAATTGGAAGTGGAATGAGCTGCGTGCCTTAAAGCTTGATCACGAAAGCTAGCATGCTAGCTGAGTTCTTCTTTGCTTTAGCAATTGGTAGTGGGATGAGCTGTGTGCCTTAAAGCTTGATATATCACGCTAACCCCCTCCCTCCCCCCCCCCACGGTTCGACTCCCAGCTGCGCCGTGTAGCGGGGGTTGGTTGAACGTGTGAACGTGGTTGGTTGGGTGTAAACGGTGGCTTGGTGTAAACGGTGCTGCTGCTGCCGCTCTGCTGCTTGCTGCTGCTGTTTGCTGCTGCCGCTGGTTGCCGCTTTTGTAGCTGCTGCTTTTGCTACTTGTTGCGGCTTGGTGCCGCTGCTGCTGCTGCTGCTTGCTGCTTGCTGCTGCTGCTGCTGTTGAAAAAGGACTGCAGTAATTACCGGGCAATCGCCTGGACCACATGTTCCGGCATCGGTGGTACTCTCGAAGCCGCTTCGTTTTCAAGACCGGTGCCGGGCTGCCGGTCCTGCCCGACCATTGTACCACAGGACTTCGAAGGATCAAGCTTGGTCCGCTTACTGGGAAGCACGAGGCCCTCTTTAGACAGGAATTGCAAGGAAGCATCAACTGCAAGGTCATATCGCTTACGGGTGGCTGGCTGAGCACTCAACTGACCTCGACGTGAGTGTACCAAGTCTCTGCCTTGCTTTTGCGTGTTCCGCTTGTGTGGCTTCCAAGAATTGCTTTAGACATGCCTCAACTTGGCCTGTCAGGGTTTCGCTCTCCGTGTGCGAAGACGCAAGCTCCACACGACTTGGCTGTGTCCATCCGTGTTCGAAGCGTGAAACATGGTACTCCCAGTCGCCGCGAACGACTGCCACGTGTGAGCTCAGTCAAGTGAAGTATCGGCATCCAGACTGCCCTGGCGCTCTTTCGCAATTTCAGGAATGCCCCCTTCCATGTCCACTTGCCACTCCACAGGCGTGAAGGAACTAATGCTCAAAGTCTATGAAACTTAACGAATTGAATTGTCGGGGTGGGCAGGAGGATATCTACACTTGAGGCCAGGGGAGGAGGTCGAAAGCTAGCCGAATCGCGCCGGATGTACTAGTTACATAGTCGGCAAAGCATGTAGTGATTACATGTTTTGGGAGAAAGGTTGCTACGTACACACTTTGCGCTAAAGAATGTAAATGTGACATGCCGACTGGGAAGGGTACATTGGAACAACACGGGCGCACTCGTTGGCAGGCACGAAGATGCGTGATCGGCAAATCTGGGGGGTAAATTTACCCCCCGCTTTTGTATGCCTTGAGTCGGAAAGAGGGGTAAGCATTTCTGACATCACACGGACTGTACATACACTAGGGCGTCCGTAGTGTAGGAGAAGCACGGGTAAAAGGTATATGGAATAGAGCGTCTTGAGGAAATAGCCGGCTTATGGTTATTGCAAATCTGGGTGGTAAATTTACCCCCCGCTTATGCATGCATTAGGCTAGAAATAGGCTAAAGAACTTGTAGCAGTGAAGTACAAGGCCTATGCAGCAAGCAGCAGCCAGCAGCAGCAGCAGCAGCCGCCAGCAGCCAGCAGCCAGCAGCCAGCAGCAACCACCAACCAGCAGCCAGCCAGCAGCACCACGCAGCAGCAGCGCAGCACCAAGCAGCACCACAACCAGCAGCAAGCAGCAAGCAGCAAGCAATTGGTTCTCGTTTCGAATTTTCTTCTTTGTCGGGTTCTGCTCCATGTTGAGAACAGGATAAGCTCTGTATAGTGACAGCTTCAAACTTTGATTTCACTTGATATGACCCAGGGAGGTAAGTGGCAGAAGAGCCACAGAGTCTGATGTGCTTGGATTTGAACCTGTTGTTAAAGCCTTGAAGGGTTGGAAGGGGACCGCTACTCCTACCGCGCAGCTGATGCCGGCACCTGCTAAGTGGCGTTTGCAATCAGCGCTTGGAAAGGATGCAAATCACTGAGTTTGGTTTTGAACGTTGCATTTTAGTTCACATGCCACCAAGAGTGCTTGCGTTTACGAAACCGTCCTTGCCCCACCGTCTACCAGAATTTGTGGCTTCCCACGAATCTCCACACTTGAGCCTCCAGCCGTTGGCGGAAGGACTGGGGAAGGTGGAACAAGGGGCAAGATGTCCATGAGGGGGAAGAGTGTTGTGCATGCCGTGGTAGCGTTTTTTGACTTTCGGGAGCCCTGATGCTTGGGAGTCCTGCTGCTTTGGGCTCGGCCGGGAAGGCTGAATTGATTCTCCGGGCTAGGCATGGATGCCTACGGTCAGGTAGAGGCGGTTGTATTTGTTTCTTTTTCAGAGCGTTCCTGACAACTTTGCGGCCAAGTAATACTTGCACTTTCATAATGCACAAAAATGCAATTGTAGTGTAATGCAATGTATATAATGTCATGTATGTAATGTCATGTAATGTAATGTAATGTAATGTAATGGTATGTAACGGTATGTAAGGGCATGTCAATGTAATCATATGTAATGGTATGTATTGGAATGTATGTAACGTATGTAATGTAATGTAACGTAACGTAGTGTAATGTAACGAAATGTAATGTAATGTTAGTTATGTATGCTGGGTATGTATGTTAGGTATGTATGTATGTATGTATGTATGTATGCAATGAATGTAATGTCATGTGATGTGATGTAATGTAATGTATTTCAATGTAATGTAATGTAATGTAATGTATGTATGAATTAATGTAATGTAATCTAATGTATGTATGTATGTATGTTTGTATGTAATTATGTAATGTATGCATGCATGTATGTATGTATGAATGTAATGGATGTATGTATGTATGAAAATGTTTTGTAGCGCAATGTAATGCAAAGTAATATATATATATGCAAGGTAATATATATATATATGCATGTTTTGTTATGTTATTGTATGTTACGTCATGTTTTTGTATGTGTGTATGTATGTATGTATGTATGAATGTATGGATGTGCCAAGATTGAAGATGAACACAATTGTGTCCTTAGCTGGCTGGGCGAACCCCACCAAACCTGGCAGGTGGGCATGTTTGAAGCCTACGTGGCGTCGCTGCACTGGAGCTTGACGCAATTCACACCCTCCACCAACAATGTGGCGCCCACCAACTCCTTGGAAAGGTGCGGCGCGTTCCGTTTTCTACGCTGTTTCTGGGCGGGATTGGGCAAACATGCTTTACAATTTTTCATCGGCGTGTCACTGGACGAATGGCGCAACCCGACCAATGCTTCAGCATTTTTGAGCGGCTTAGGCAGCTTCAAACATCATGCCGCAGACGAATGGTCAAGTTGACGAGTCGCCTGCCTACCTTCAAACCATATAGTCGTGCCACACGAATGCTCTCTTCCAGACGGCCTTCTTCTCTTCCCACCAGAAGATGGTTCAACGAAAAAACAATCCGGGAGCGTTGAAAAACCTACCTACATGCAAGTAGTAGTATATATGGGTGCGTATCATAGCAATGTATGCAAAGAGCACCTTTTCGAGACTTGCACTGGCAAGGTCAATGGACTAATTAGATACGACCCTGCAACATACAACCGTGGCCAGGCAGTTCCGCTTGGCCCAGCGACATCACAGACGTAATTTGACCACATGGCGTGCCACAGACTAGATGCAACAATGCAACACTAAACCGCGTCGACACCACCAATCATACCGCTCCCCAACGCCACACCTCACAATTGAATATCCGATGTGCACAATCCCCTCAGACGGGCACGTTTCGTACAAACAGATTGTCAAGAGCCAAGATGTCATATATGGTTTACATTGCCATAGTGTACGTGAACATATGTGAGCATACTTGTTTTGCACATGTGTTTAAGGACCCCAGCGGAAGTTACACGATCCCAGCGAAAATTGCATGAACTTCATTGCAGGCGTGCTTACTGAAAGCATGATTCCGGCGAAAATTGCATGAATTATTTGGCAGGTATGTGTACTGAAAGCAAGATCCCAGCACCAGCACTAACTAAAGCAGTTCACTGAAGCAAGATCGCAGCACCAAGACAATTTTTCTGCAGTACTAGCAAGTGTCGTGTTACCTTATTACCACCTACGTAGCAGCAACCCCAGAAAACCACACTTGCAAATTGCAGATCTGTAATGCAAACACTTTCTACAGAAGAACCCTTCGCAAACGCTCCCGGGAAAAATTGGGTCCCTCAATGAACTTACTTGCAGCCAGGGCTTTGTTTAATCAATTTGTGCAGTCAAGAAGTCCAGTCATATCATGTGTCTTGCACGTTGCCAGGTTCCAAGAGGGTAAGTGTCAATTTGGGTCTATATATATATATATCTGTATATATATGTCCTTATTTTCAACGATAGACCCCTGCAATTCGATAGGCTTTTTGCAATCTTCGTCATTCTGCTCGCCATGGGTCTCCAGATCCGAGTTGTGGCACGGGCTGGGATACGTGATCCTGCGTACAAATTGGGACAATAGACCTGAAACGAGGCACCGAGACACCTTCATTTTGCATGTGGAAAAGAACTTTCAGCCCAATGTGAGACGGAAGTTGAGAAGTTGTTTGAGACACTGCCCCGGCATTCGATCGCCTACTTTTGGTGAACACCATTGCAATCATAAGAACAGTATCAATCAGGATTATAGGTTCCATGTGCATGGCAGGGGGGTGGATGGTATGTTGTTGGCGATTGGAATCGCAGGTTCAAGTTTGATCCATTGGAAGTTTCTTACATAGAAGATCTTAATATTAACAATTTGTCCCCTCCAATGATGTTTTTCAAGTGGACCATTCCGTTCAGACATGCCCCTATCCGTGATGTGTTGTTCGCGCGGAGGTTGAAATTTAAGTAAATCAGCTTCAACATAATTAGAAGACAAGGCTGAAACATGTTGATGCAAACGTCCCCAGCCCCAGTTGGCTCAGACGAACAACAAAGAGCACCGATCGATTCATGTTTTGGTCTCTAATCAGTTTTTGTCAAGTGGGCAAAAAAAGCACCCAGCCAGTCATTCTTCCCAGTTCTCGAACACAGCCCCACCGGATTTGGACTGAAGTCGCCTTGCGTGTTCCTGTTTGCCCTTGAAAAATGCCCCGTCCACACTCAACTACCGTTCTCCACTACCGTCCCTCAGGTTGTTTCTCCTCCTTCGTGGGCTCCATCACGGCGACGGTGAATGCCTTGCGAAGCATCCAAGCCACCAAGACGAAGCAGCACAGCGAAGTGCCACCTGCCACTGACGGCGGTTCCGGGACGACCGGTGGTCCTCTTTCGCGACCGTCCGGACGCGAGCGAGCGACTCACAGTGGGGGAACCATGGGGAAGTCACCATGACCTACCCTCCACTAAAGCAAAGGTGACTTCTGGTCATGGTAGACTAAGCAAAGGTGAACTCTCCAGCTAAGGTGAACTCTCCAGCTAAAGCAAAGGAGTTTGACCAAGGAGTTTGCGCTTGGTCGCATGATCTTCCATGTGCCTTCGGAGGCGATACAGTTGGCTTCTTCTCTTTTGGGGTATAGGTGGCGCAGGAAACGTACGTAACTTGCTTTAGTGTTGGGGGATGTGACCCATGATTTTGTATATAAGACCTCCCAGAAAAGATTTTGTCCTCCAAACCCAACCCATTAAACGGCTCAAAAAGGAAACACATCGTTGAAAGCAGCTCGATGACAGTTTCCGCGTGCATAAAAAAAGAGGGTGCTCTACCAGTTGAGTTGAGTACTATAGCCAGTTTTTGCAAGTCGAGGGCATAGATGTAGAATCTTGATTCACAAAATTGACCTTTTCATATCTATATACACATTTACCAAAATTCAATCAAGATTCTATATTCCCTACTCCCTACTCCCAGAAAAGGATTGCCAAGTGATATTTCACATGAGCAACGTGTGTTTTACATGTTCATTAAAAGCGGCCCCCACCAGACTCTCAGAAACCCGGCGATTCGGCAAGGGCAGCGCGATTCGGTTGGCGTTCGGTTCTTTGTATGGTGCGGCCACAACTTTTTGGTAGGAGTGTTTGTGTGTGTGTGCGTATGCTGCCTAAAGATGTTGGATACATATTTTATTTTGTTGTTCTTGCCCTTTGCTCTTCCATTCTCTCACTTACTCAAGTACCAGTGATTTTTTGCGCTAGCCGCGCAGCTGCGCTCTAGCTCTGCGCTAGTAGGACGCTAGACGACAATCACTTCGTGACCGCTAGTGGTTCGCGCACCGCTGGGGTGGAAAGTTGTCTAACACTGAGCCAGTGAGGGGCAGGGGCGCGTGGAAGGTTGCCAAAACAATGATTGTGTGCCTTCGTGCATGGTTAGATATTCCAAATTGGCTTGCGAGCCTTTTATGTCACAGGGCACGGGCTGTTCTGCATTGAAAGCAGCTAGTGCGACAAAGCAGTAGGTCACATTGAAAGATATATATATATATATAAACCTATAATGACATAGAATATATAGACACATGATAGGGGGTTGCTAAAAAAAAAATATAAACAGGAATCCTACTGGAACATTTTTTGAATAATTTCCATGTAAAAATAAATAAGCAAGCTAGTGGGTTAAGGTACTACCCTCAATTTCAGAATACATTTTGGCATAATTTTGCAAGCCACTCCTTATCCGGCTGTGTCGATTTGTCCAGGCCGTGTTTACATGTCACGACATCAATACTCAATGCCGCTCTTTTTTCGTCCCTGCAAAGCCAGACTACACAGAAGATCAAAGAAAAACCGAAAACATACCAGAGGAAACAAATTATCGCCAACCAGAGGATTTCAACGAACCACACGTGGATGAGCAATGATCCTAGAGTGAACTGTTGACGGGTGTATCAGATCCAGGAGTCTGCAAATTATTCTGCAATGTGAATGACATGTTGGAATAGTTTTCAGAAACTATGTGGGCAGTGGTTTGAATATTTGATAACTTTCCAGGGGGCTGTGACAGGGGGTCCCCTTAGGCCACCCCCTATGACACAGGTCGATAGTTATATGTTAATATTATTGAAACATCCGTGTCGAGCTGTAACCCTTTACATTTGGTTGTTCTTTTCTCCAGGAATGATGTCAGAGTTGATGCTTTCCCACCATTGGGACAGTGTCCGGCAGTTAAGGCTCCGGTTCTTCGCTGAGAGGAAGATGTCCTTGGACCTCTTTCAGAAGGTGAAGGACGGGTCTAGAACAACTGCGAGGGGAAAAACTCCTGTGGCACCAGGTGTATTGCACCAGTCGCACCAGCCATGTCATGTATGATGGTTTTTTGGGGTCGTCACATGTTCCAACCAACCAATGTTTCACTGTTTCCAAAGGGTTGCAATGAGCCAGCGCAGGGACCAAACAATTTTCCCAGTTCGGCCACTTGACCAACCCTGCTTGCCCGAAACATTCTATACTTTGCCAGCAATGCTCACTTGACAGCGAACGACGAGTGTGAAACTGTAGGATGACCAGGTGGCTCATAGACGGTCCATTTGGTTCGATCGGTGCCATCGTCTCGGCAGCTGAGAATCGTTCTTTTTCACCACATCGTGTTATGCAGTTATTTCCAAATGGCATTTCCTCAACATGAGGCATGCCTTGTTGGACCTAGAAAAAACACCTTGGGGTTGGGGTTGAAATACATTGATCCAGCTTTCTCCATGTTGCTCTTTGGATTTTTGTTGCCAAAGGGCCCATGTATGGGTTGAAAAGCTACCCTGGAAAGATTTGGAAACTTGCTGGTTCACACAAACAAGGTGACATTGACATTAATAGTTAATTGAAATGTGTCAATACTACATCCATATGACTCATATGACCCTATAACATGGACATGTCGCAGCATTGGAGGTCGTTTCACCTGGAAACCGAAGTCTCCAACACCCCGCCGATCCCACAGGGGCCCACGTGAACCAAAATCCGCGGAGCGTGATCCGCCGCAGTACGTGATCCGCACGGAGAAACTCATGGATGACCCTCTCATGGAAAACGAGGTCACGATGCTGAAGTTCCTGCCCAAACGCTTCAGGATGGGACGCGCGGACCGGTGACTCAGACGTCAACGTAACGTGACGAGTCTGCCAACGTGGAAATGCCGAGTCCGTGCAGAGATCCACGTTTTTGAGGTGCCACACTTGTGATGAATTTCATTTGTCCAACTAGTCAAAGCTGTTGATTCCTCCAAGAGGTGTAGAGTCTAGAGGGAATGGGTGAGGAACACATTCTCAGGGGGTTACAAGATGTTCTCACGCTCGGTTGTCCCTGTCAGCAGAGAAATGTTTGTCCATTGCCTTTTCGCAAGAGACGCAAGCTGAACTGCACGACAGTGAATGACAGGCAAAGCAAGACTGAACCACCAAAGTTGTCCTTTGTCAACCACTCGCACTCAGAGTGTTTTTTCATGTTTTTTCCTTCACCCACATCTCCCATCATCTTGCGCTGGTGAGTGTCCCATCCGGACTCGAACCTAACATGTAAAGGTTTGTGGACAACGCGTACCCCTGCAATTCAAGCAGCTCGCAGGGTCGTGCTCCAAATGCAAAACTTTGTGAAGATTGGTCAACTTGAGAGCACATGGGGCCTGCCTTTGAAATTGAGAATTTACGTGGGATTGCTCGAAACAAATGCATTAATCATTGAACAAAGCCGATCAACCGTTGCCAGGATCCAGTTGCACGAGGAGCCGCGATCAGGGGGGCAGTGACAGTGAGCTAGGGTTCAGATCAGTCATGTTTGACATGTCATTGCTCAAACCAGACCCACCACCTATGACAAATTGACCTTAACCCATTTATATCACTTGTTTTGGATCTATGCCTAAGAGGTTTCCCGACCCAAAGGGTACTTGTATGACTCATCCACATCATCACGCGAGAAATTCATCCACCCCCAAAGGGTACTAGGCCTTCACCCAAGGGTACGCGGCAGGAGATGTATATGCACGACTTGTTACAGCTCCCCTTTTGGCCCAGTGGTGTCAAGACACGTGAGCACGTCTTCCTGGCAGAGGCACACGGCTCCTTCGGCCTGAACCGCCCGCTTGGTGCAACGGGTTTGAACAGCAGTTGTTTTTTGGTTTGTCAACTGAGTGGACGACCGGTGCCCAACGCGGGTTAACCCGTTTTGAGATGTTTGGAGGACTTGCTGAACACAGACAGACTTGCTTTGTGTGAACCCAGACGCTCCATGTATGCCATATATGCCTACATTGGGGTGGTTTGGGGGGTTAATGTAGGCATATATTCCATACATGGAGTGTATATGAGTGTATGGGGAATGTTGTACAAATCGATCTCAACCTGACGCATGCTCTTGGTCCTGTGGGGTGCTCACGCCCCCTGCGGGTCGTTTGGACCCGCCACTGATGGTCGACCTGTGCCTTACGAAGGGGCCTCCCATTGAGTCCATTGGTAACCTTTATGAAGGTGCCGGGGCAGTCACGCCTTCCAGACTCTATACCTATATATAGGGTATATCGGTATATCGCTCTTCAGGTCCTCGAACTTTCAGGCCCTTCAGCTTTCCGACATCTCCACTTAGCACTAACAGAGCTCCCACTAACCCAACAGCTCACCTTTGCAGTTTCAACACCAGTCCAACATTTCGATGTTGGGCCTTGCTCCCATGCCATTCCAAGATTGATCCACTGATTCAGAGCCCATCCAAAGGACCAAGGACCTACCAAACTTTGACCAAAGGGACGCCCTCCCCCCAAACAAAATACAGACTGTATTTTCATTGAGCTTAGGTCAAGCTGCAGGAGAAGACATTATGTCCATTCATGGACTGGAGTGCTTTTTGTTCATACATTGTTCAACCCTTCTGCAATATTCCACCCTTTTGACCAGCACCGACAGTTCTCGGCAATTCTTGGCAGATATGTTTGATGTTTCATCCTCTCGCCTTTTGTCAGCCCCCGGGAGGTTTGCCATTCCGCGATGCAAGAGGAGATTGCCCGAAAATACGAAGACATTTTCCTGCCAGGCCCTGTCAGTCCTTTCGTTTGGCGGGAGTGCGCTTTGTGCTCAATACTGATCAGGGATGATCAGGGTTTGCATCTCGGGTTGTTATCGGAGAAGGCCTTGAGCCGTTTGACAGGTTGGAAGTGTCACGGCTTGATGTCGGGTGTGGAAACGACGTGGATGACGAAGGTGCAACTCAGTGCAACATGCTTTTGACATTTAGGAGGGTTAATGTAGGGAGCCCTTTTGTGTAGCAAACACGACATTCTCAACATGCTTTGTTTCGCAGCATCTTCTTACAACGTCCTTTGCTAAACTTAGTCTTTGAGCTGCATCTGCGGGAGCAGAAGAAACATGCAGCATGCAGCTGAAAATGAGTCAAGAGCGGTGTAAGTTCCTACAAAACAATCACAAACGGAAACGCAAATGAATAAACCACATATCAAAAATGTTTGACATGTTTGAGACAAAATTTAGCGTCGGCCAACAACTTTGCTTGCTTTGGTGCTAGGTTTTGTGGTGATAATGTTTGATGCATAATGTTTTCTTGGGGAGCATTATTAGCTGAAGCAGTAGACAGTATATATTCAGATTTGTTTGTCGTTGTTGTTGTTCAAGTTTTCCCAAAACAAAAAATCCTTAACAAATCTTAACAAGTGTTTGCCTTGAAACGGCATCCTTCTTCAAAGCATGCATCCTTGGGGAATGCTTTGTACAAGGTCTCGCTTAGATAAGGACACCCTCTTTGCAAAGACACCCTTAAATTTGCAGAGCTCCATTTGTGTAAATTATATTATATGCACGTTTTGTCCCTGATAATGGCCCTCAAAAGTGCCCTCAAGCAAACACCGGTAGCTACAGTTCTCTTTAGTAGTACTGCCACTGCTGCTTTCCATTAGGGTTGCCATCCTTTGTCAAGTCACTCTTTTTGATAAGGATCTCACTTTGCAGAATCATCATGTCCATCCATAATGCTTGGGATGATTTTCAATCCCATTGAATTCCCATGTCTTTTTGCCATGGTTGAATCCCTCATCCCCAGACTGTATTAATCATCCGTTTGTAAAGAGATCCATCATCGTGAAGGCCCATCATCGTTCATCGTCCCGTTCTCTGTCCCCAGTGCTTTTGTCCTTTCGGGCCGATGCTGAACTTGTGCATTTGGCCCAGGTCTCAGGACCAGGCACTTGGTTTCGTCGATACCGCGCAGCCGCAGCGAGTATCTATACATGGTGTTGACGTCTCTCACTTCGCCACCCCTTCAGTTCTTGACCGAAAATCCTCGAAACATCCGGAACGTCTCCATCCATTTTGCGGCTTTGTCCTTCAAGCTTTCACAGGGAAGTGAGACCAGCTTAGCTGTTTGCTTCGGCCTGTGCGTCACCAGGCACCGAATGCCATGCCGCCTACCTCATGCAGCCAGGCTCCGGCGCGGTGGCGGAAAGCGGCTCCGTCGGCGGTCGGTTTGGGGGATCATCAGCGGGATTGGAGACCATGTGGTGTTGATTCCAAGTGATTTCAGGAGCTAACTTGGATAATGGTGAGATTTCCTGGAGAAATTCTCCAGGAATGTGGAGTGTTTGGAATTGGCAATGCAGCAAGCAACAAGATAATGTCGACGTAGGATTAATCAACCCCCCCCTTCAAGGTCAACAAGGTTTGAGATTGGAGGTTTTGGAGACCACATCCCCTTAAGAAAGGTGATGACCTGATGATGGATGATGGTTGATATGATTCTGCGAGAACACTGAGGCCTGTGAGAGGGGTACCCTTTGTGTTAATATTTTTTATAGAGTTTCATAAGGGAAAATGAAAGAGTTTTGCTAGAGAGGTTTTTAGGGACCAGAGGATATTGGATACTTATTTTCTGTTTTCTGGGGGAGCTGGGCTTGATTAATAGGGGGGCTTCTGGCAAGGAACAAAAATTATCAGGGGGGGTTGCAGGGTTTTAATTAGTTTAGTATTGGAGGCTCCAGCTGGGCTTAATTAATAGGGGGGTTGGTTAATCCTAGGTTGACATTAATCACCTAACATTCAGGAGGTTGTTCCTTTTCAGCAACTTGCAATAGGATCCCCCTAGTTTTTGTATTGGCCAAGCTGCAGTTTGTACGTCTTTTTGTTGTTGTTATTGCTGCTTGCATTCAGTGTCCAAGTTAGTTTGCAAAGAGAGGTGGCAGATTGAATTTGTCAACACGTTGAATACGGCTGGCAGGAGCACATGGCTGCTATAAACCGTCTAAACTCTAATTTGGCAGGCTTGATCCCGATCCAGGAGGTTTGTGTGTACATCGGAACCCTCACAGAAGCCCTGGATCCCGCAATGGATTCATGGACTGCTGCAAATGCTGCAATGATGTATACATCTTCGGCACGCGAGAAATTCACAGCTGTATGGGCACCGGTTCCTGTGGTAGGCCATGTCGTTGGACAGTTCGCTCGGCTTGTCATTTTTGCTGAGTTTGTGCATCACCAATCTTTCTCAATTTCATGACTTCTGCGACAAGGCCTGTCAGCCAAATGACGGAGTGGAAGCGTGGAGTGGACCATGTTCAGACTTGTAACAGGCAGCGGAACTCAGATAGAAGGCTTGGATTTGTGTGAGCCCTCTTTCGGGCGTCTCATGGATTTGCTGATCAGGTGAGTTCGATTGGACGTCTATCCGAGAGTCTATCATTTTTCCAGGAAGTTTGTGGTTGTAGCGATAGTTGTACGTAATGATTGGTGTGTGCGCTTGTGCTTTCAGGAAACACCCCACTCTTGTCGCATATGCCTATTGATATTATAGTATGTTGTACCAAATTTCAGTTTGCTTGACTTACTGTATGTTGGCTCACGACCTCTTCCTGGACCTTTTGCGAGTTGAGACCGCCTTATCCTTGAAGATGTGGCCCGTGGCCGATCAGAATTCTTCATTCCGCGACTCAAGCTTGACTTGAACAATTCTTGTTCTGTCCACCATCAGCAGCATCAGCACAAAGGAAGCCTTTCCGTGGGAAGCTGACCTAGATTGACCTAGCATGTTAGATATCCGATAGCCATTCCCAGCAGGAGTGAGCGTCTTTAGGAACCAAAGCATTTTAGGCTCCAGCGCTGTGGCGTTCGTCAATGACCCAGGGTTCCACGAACATTGGACCATTTGCAGCTTTGTGACGTTTTCTCGGCTTGTCCCGTTTTCTCGGCTCGGTTGGAATAGATTGCGCCAGTAGCGCAAGTAAAAGACTTGGATACACCCTGGAAGACTAACATGGACCCTGAAAACCACTGGTTGGTAGAGTAAAAATACTCTTCCAGGGGGCCATGGTCAGGGTCTATATGTGAGTTTTCGGGAGTGTATATTATATCAGCATGTTGAACTATTGCACCGAAATGATGAGTTCATGGCCTTGAAGAACAGCAATCGGAACAGCTGCAGGATGAAGCCCCCCTTTGGGGGCACAACATCAATACATAAGGGACGCTTTAGCTCGGCGCTAAGAGCTATGTGCAGTTCCAAGGTCTTGGAGAAGTGCGTGCAAGTCTAAATCTTCCTGTCGCACGGAGTGTTTGGGAGAGCCAGCTGCTTGGGGAGCAGCATGCCAAGGAGGCATGAGAAGTGTTCAGGCGTGGCATGACTAAAACGGTTTTGAGACCGAATGTAGCCTTTCGCTGCCAACTGCCAAGCCGCACTGTTGAGTGGCCGACCAACCAGAAGCTTCAAAGTGGCACTCCTGGAAGTCACAGGATGCAGTCACTTGGGCTTGTAAAAGGCCACTTAGAGACTCCAAAGAGGTCAGGAACTGAAGGTCCTGGCCCTGAACTTTCAAGTGACCTGCGCCATTGGACAGAGACTCTCGCGGCCCAAGTTTTGGAGAACGGACGGGCAGAGAAGTCCCCATGATGTTCAGGGGATGGGAGGGGATGGGTGAGCATTGGACCAACTAATTGGTCGTGAAATGGCCACAAGTCGCCAACCCTCCCGACATGAACATGGGAAACATCGAAGTGCATTGGACTTGACATCGAAGTGCATTCCGGGTTCTGTTTCGTTTCCAACCGTGCTTGGTTGGTGCACAAAAGCGTCACTTTCATGGGCAGGGGTGACTTTGGGCAATTATGGCTATTCCCCTTCGCAAGACTTTTGGAATTCTATGTTCCCACTTCGTGTCAGGCTGTGCTATGAGCTACACCTTTGGCCCGCTCGTGAATGTTCGCGTGCAAAGTGAGGACTGAAGGGTGTGATTGGCAGTTGGAACTGTACAAAGATGATTATGTATGTAATGTACTCTACTGTACTGTAATGTAATGTAATGGATTGTATATAATGGTGTGTATGTATGCTATGCAATGCTATGCTATGCAATGCATGCATAGAGATATAACATATGAAGACATGTTATATATATATTGTTATATTAATTAGATCGATATATATACATATTTCTGTGACACTGCTGAAGGGGGATTATGCTCGGTGGGCTCCGTTCTCCTTCAACCTCGCAGATCCACCTAAGGAGTGAATGTTCATCACAGCTCACTGATCGACTCAGGGAAGGAGAACCAACAAAAGCACCATGGGGCAGCCATGGCTGCCGGCCTAAAACTCAGGCCGCAGGAGTGGAAAGCAACACATGATTCATCGTTCACCAATATTCACCGAGTTGGGATGCCGGGTTTGAAGTGAAAGCTTTGATTTATGACCAGTGGACCTTTATGGCTCTTCGCCATGCGTGGAGAAGTTCACCCTTTTTTAGTGGCCGATGGCGCACCTGGGGCGTCTCTCACAGACAAAGACTCCGTGCCCGGCTCGACCCGGTGAGGACCATTTGTGTTTGATTTCACTTTGGGCTGAGTGGCAGCACCAGGGGCGTTTGATTGCCCGCCATGGGACCTCACGCTACGACACTCGCCGTCACACGCGAGCTGAAGACACTTCAGGAGCGTCATACGGAAGACAAACAAGGCTACACTAGTAGATGGTTCGGATGGCTTTGTTTGCTGCGATAGGGATGGTGTAACTATGTATTGTAATCCTAAGCTTTTGTGTAGTAGTGCTCAACTTCCACTTCTAGTTCCAACCTTGTTGCTACACCCGGGGTGCCGCCCGGTGTGCATGAGGATCTTTTGTTTTCGAGTCATGTTGTTCCTGTGGACTAGCTGGCTTTTTGTACAGAATTGATCTGGTGTTTGTAGGCGAGTCTAACCAGTCACTTGGATGAAGACAAAATGAACTGAAAGTATCCCAGCCGGGCGCGAGATTTTGCTTAAAGAAACGCTGGTTTAGTCTACTGTCACTGGGTCGGTTTACGGGGGGGTGTTTCAGGTGAACTGTTTGGTGGAACAGTTGGCTGGGTGGTGGCATCAGATCCACTAAAGAATCATGGTTACGTGTTGGTTTCCCATGGCCCCGATTTCGGTTGACCATGAAATCCGAAAACCAGGCAGGTGATGATCTCCACTTCCATGATGTTTCAAGGAGTGCATTGTTATGTTATGTTATGTTCAATCTTTACTTGAGATGGTTGACCTGAGTTGAAACCGGCCAGTTTGGTGGAACTGTGCGAGGTTCAGCACGGGGAATCCTTTGCAGGTTCAGCGTGCGTTTTTGTGGAATTCAACTGGCAACTGGTACCAAATCAAGCACACCACACGGGCCTTGACTGTATCACTCACGGCATGCAGACTTCGTTCTTATATTTCAGTGCCCAGCACCATTGGTGAGTTTACCCCTTTCTGACATTAGTTTAATGCAACTCTTCCGCACACGGATGGTTTGGGATACCCATTGGCACTTGGATGGCTCTCATCTGAGGTGGTGTTGGACAGTGAGAAGTTCGGGATGCTGGCATGGCGATGGGTGCGCCAGCCGTCGTGCTTACCAGGGTCATTGCGATGGGCTTTGTATCTTGTGGGTTGTTCTGGTATACGATGGTATGCCCGCAAAGGTTTGTCGGTTTGTCCTCCTAGGGCAGTATAAATAGGTTGGAAGGCTGGATGAGTCATGAGGTATTGAGGAGGGATGCAAATAGAAAACCTCCACAATTGGATTGAGACACACATAGACACACAGGGCAAACAGAGGTGGTTATGACAGGATGAGAGAGCTTCATGAAGATCATGACAAAGACAGACGTGCCTTCCATGTAGTCTATGAGATTCTACGAGTGCATATATACCTAGAACCTGAATGACCTCTATTTTGGACCACCAACCGCCCAACATATGGCCTTTTCCTATCAAAACAGGGGTCAATTGGGTTCCAGGTATATATACATATGTAACATGTGCATGTATGTTTGACATTGACATTCCATTGACATTGTCACGGGCTTCTCTAACACCGGCCTACACGCATTCTGAGAATAAGTCCTAAGCAACCAACTTCGGTTTCAGAATCATTCGTGGCAAATCATGGCTGGTCATTGATGGTCATTTTCCATATTCCAATGTGACCTGTCACCTTTTGGCTTCACCCAAGTTCCCCCCCCCACCACCCCCAGGGCGCCAAACCTGGCGATCGCATGTTCCAGGCTGGGCCCTTTTATCGCTACCTGCAGATCTTCGGCGTGCTTTTCACCGGCGCTTTAGAGAGCCATCTCGCAGAAGATGCCCATTTCACCGATATGGGCATCCCCAAGGAGCCCACGTCTGACGAAAAGCGAGCGATGTTGCGGCGCATTTCAGCTAGACATGGATGCAGCATTGGGCCATCCTATAGGCATGGGCCATCATGGACGCATTTCAGCGATGGGACACTGCAAATCATTGAACCTCCCCATGTGATTGAGCTTCGAGTCAGGACAGGCCAGGTTTGGAATGAGACCGCCATGTGAAGAGCGGTTCTGCTTGTGCGAGGAACAAGTGAAGGAGCTCGCGCTCCGCACCGCACAGTTCGATCAAGTTTGTGAAAAAAACACCAATCGCGAAGATCCTTGGATCGTAACTGGCAGGCAAGTGCAGGAGTTCTTCCCGGATGAGGTCTTGTTGTAGTTGCAGACGCCCTGCAAAGAACTAAAGATTGCAAACGCATCTCCAAGCCCTAAGGATGTTGAGATGGGTATAGCCAAAGGACAGCCAAGGTGTTTGTGTGTGTTATTGCATGTGCATGTAATCCCGAATACCCTTTTATTAAAAACCGCCATGTCCCAAACCCTAAATATGGTTTATAAGATATGTGTTGTTAAATAACCGCCCTTTAAAACCGCTACTAAACTACCAACATGGTCGATTTTGGGGGCAGTTTTTCCATTAGGTTCCAAAAACAACAAATAAAGGTGTTTGTAGGGGAAAAGGAAGACCCTTCGATCTGGAGGTTTTTTGAATGTTTGATATGCGTTTTATAAAGGACTTATACAAAATTTTACAGCGTTACTTTTTGGTTTTGAAGCTCTTCCCAGGTGACCCTATTTTGGACCACCCCCATTTCAGGGACCCCCTATTTAAACAAATGCGACCGAGCTGTTCTTAATAGGAGGGGGCCGTGTTTGTTTTAAATATAGGTACGTGGACAGGATGATCATAAGCTATGCCGTGTTTTGCCCGCGGGGTGCTGGGCCCAGGGTGCTTGAGGGTGTTCGGGGCCCAGAGAGTCCATGTATTCAGTGGATACGTGGAGGATACACTGCCGAGTCACATAGACCCTGGAGGTGAGGTATGGTCCCCTTGAAAGAGTGTTGTTCCTCCTACCAACCGGTGGTTTTCAGGGTCCATAAAATCGTCTTCCAAACCGTAGGCGTTAGAATTCCCATGTCCTACAAGAGTGTCCTTCGCACCACGTGTCGGAGATGCAGTGTGTCCGAAAAAACGAGTGTTCCACAAAAACCCGGTGCCTTGTCCTGTGTTTTTGTGGAGCTCGCTTGGATCTGCTTCTCCTTCTGCCTTGACCTTCCGGATGTCGCGGACGCATGGGGATGAGCCTTTCTCCTTTGATCGGAGGGTGTCGAGTGGGTGTCGAGAGGTCAGGCCTTCCAGCAATGGCTTCCAAGGTCATGGGCCCTGCACCGATTTCCACGGCAAGGAAGGATTCCCCACAGCCAAGGCTGGCGCGCCCCCCTGAGGCTTAGGGGCAGAACGCACGCATGCCACCCAAAGTGGCAATCACATGTTTTTCTGGGCTCAAGCGCTATGGCGTCGAAGACATGTGAGCACATGAGACAAATTGCCGGTTCGGCAGGCATAGCCGGCCCAAATGAGGGTTTGACCAAAGCTTTGGCTTTGGCGATTGTGGTCACATTTCCCCTCAGGCAAAGCTGAGCGTCCTCCAGGAAATTAATCACCAGTTCCTCATTCGGTGTGATGTCCTGGAAAAAGTACGGGTAGGCCCAAAGGATAAAGTCCAGGATGTCAAAGTCCCAGATGTAGCACAAACAGCTAGCTCTGCCCAACAGGGAAGAAGTGGGGACCAATCATCGGCTCCCCTAGGATCAAGCGCCAGCTCCCCGATCTGAGAGAAAACCAGTTGAGCTTGCCAAGGATCACGATCACAGAGCGTCCCAAAAGCGTTGATGGCCTGAAGGTGCTTGTGTCGTTGGCGAAGATTCTCGCCGGGTTCCGGCTCTGGACTTGGCTCCGGCCGGTCCAGCGAGGACCTCAGTCTCTACGGAATTCCAAAGCCGCAAGGGCCAAGGACCTTGAGGGGATCCTGAGCAGTCCCAAGCAGCCGCCGGTCGATGGCCAAGACAACCTCGAAGGGGTCCAGGATGTAGGCCGCGCATGGCCGCGCCCAAGAAGCTCTGCTGCCAATGCGGTGGAACCCGGAACTTCAAGGAAGCGTTGCCCACCAAAAACTTGTGGCGCGCCCCTCCAAGGATCCCAAGGGGTAGAACACACGAATGCCACCCAAAGTGGCAACGACACGCTTTTCTCGAGCGAGCTCAAGCGCTATAGCGAAGAAGAAACGTGAGCACATCAGAGATACACATTGCTATCAATGCTATTTCAGGTCATTTCTGTTGTAAGATTTGTGAGGCCAGGTTAGTTGGCTCAAATTATTTGGAACCAAAAGTCACTGTTTGAT